CTTCTTCATGCGCTGAAACTTCCAGGGGTCAATGAGCTGGAACATGGTGTTAGGCAGCACCAGTGGGTTCTGGTCACCCAGGGCCAGATGCTTAGGGAGGATCTCAATGTAGTAGGAACACTTCTTGAGTAGTTGCATGCGGGCATGGTGACGCTTGAGCAACTGGGGGCTCAGGTCTGTGGTCAGAAACTCACGCAGCACATTGCGACGCTCCATATAGGTCCTCCAAGCCTCCGGCTCCAGCAGCTGCTGGTCCTCTGCTTCCTCCACCTCCTCTGAGTCCAGGAAGGAATGGGGACTGTCCAGCTTCATTTTGTCCAGGGCCAGGCCTGTCACCTGGAAGTTCATTGTCTAGGAGCTGAGGGTAAGGACTAGGTATCAGCTGTGACAATTGGATGGGCTGTGCCCCAACCTAAGCCTTCTGCACCACATCAGCCTCTACCCCATAATGGCCTTTGCTCCATCCCCTGGACCACAGCCTTCTGAGCAGAGAGAGACCCATGGATGGAGAGAATAGTAGGCTGGGTACTGGACAAAAGCAGATGATGAAGAAGAAACTTCTATCAAGGTACCAGTTTTATGGTGATGAGCTAACCGGGCTGAGAGAGTGGGCTATAGGATCAGAGTGGTCTGGAAAGAAACTCTGGGATGTCAACCAGTTGTGAGATGGGTCAGGAGCCTCAAGTTCCTCACCTACCATGGATAATGGATGGTGCCCTTTAAGCTGTGGAGAAGCTTGGGATGACCCTTGGGATACTGATGTATCCCAATACCCATGTACCCCAATAGTCTCCAGAGACCTGGTACACCTCAGTACTGCTACTGTGCTTGGGGACTTTTTGATTTTGGCATAGCATCTCATTCTGTAGCTCAGGCTGCCCTCTAACTCCTGTGCTCAAGTCATCTCCTCATCACACCCTCTTGAGACTGCAGGGGTAGATGCTGTTGTATCTAGTTTATCCCAAAGGTGGAATTGCTGACGCCAGAGTCTTCCCTCCTCTCCTTGTGCCTCTACCAGGTCCCCAAATCTGGCTGGTATGCCACAAAACCCAGCAGCCAGAGCTTCCGGGAGAAAGGACCAACATCCTGCCAGTTGTCCCTGGCACTGGGCCAGTGGTTTCACTTGGAAGTTTCAGGTTGTGGAAACTGGGGTCTAATGAGAAGAGAACTAAGAGACTGGATGACTGGCTCAAGGTCAGCCATACCTGGAGGGCTTTGACAGGCGTCTGGGACGGGACGGCAGAGAATGGTTCCTGGCTGAAAGCAAGCTGAGACCAGGGCCCCAAGACCCTGAGCCAACACAGTCCCTTGCAGCGAGAAAGCTCGATGGAACCCTCCAAAAGTTACTTTCCCCGTCTGTTATCCCATTTTCCCGGTGGAGACTACCCACCTCGAGCCCCTGGCTATGCCTCTCCAAACCCTCTACCTACCACTCCTCTTCCGGATCACCTCCGTGAACCCCAGCCCCCCTCTGCAAGAGCCTGGCGCCCACCTCCTCTGCGGAGTCCAGCGGGAGCCGCAGGTGCACTGTCTGGTCAAAGCTCCGCCTGCTTCTGACCCACCTGTTGCCATGGGAACCACTGGCCCTTGTGACGCGGCGCACTGGTCCAGGTGTAGGGAACTCTTGATTTAAGGGCTAAGCTCAGACACGCCACAGCAGGGATTTACGTTCAGGGCCGCGCGGGTTTGAAAACAAGCTCAACCTTAGCCCTACTGGCTGGTGAAATTGTTCCCTGGCTTCGTGCCGCCAGACGCCCAGGAGCCACTATGGTGGCTGGGTTGACAGCTTGGCCTAAAGTGGGGTTCCCTGAATCACAGTAAACTTGTATCTTTGAGTGGGACAGCGCTGACTTCTGGGGCCCAAGAAGACCGTGGTTGCCAGTGGAGTTCAGGAAGGGAGTGCCCCACTTGACATTCCAAATCAAGCTGTAGCCTGCGGATCTCAAGGAAGATAGAAAAAAGAGGAAGAGATAAATAGGATCTTCTTAGCAAGCAGTCAGCAAGGCAAAGGGTGCTGACTTTCCCAGACCTTCGGAAACTCATGTCCTGTCCCCTCTAGTCTAGGCAAACGGGGTCTCCATAGCTTCAAGGGTCCTCAAAGGAATTCCCAAGTATGAGTCACCCTCATACTACAAACTGGGCTCTGGAACCCTGAATTTACTACCCAGATCCCTCCTCTTTAAGAGCCTGCTTGGGTCCCTCCTCTTTAAGAGCAAGGGTCCCAGACACCTGAAAGCTGCAGGCTCATTTCCATACAGTGGTTGTCCTTCCACAGAGCTCCCAGCCCTCCTGGTGGCATCTAGCAAGCCAGGAAGTAGCTTTCCTACTTGTCAATCTACACTGACTACAGGTCTTGGAGGGCCTGGAGGAGGAGGAAGAAGTGACAGATGCTGGTTCTGTGCTCCTCTAGGGTAGTCATGGCGGCTAGTGTTGGGAGTCTCGAGTATAAGAACTAGATTCCCCTTCTCCACCCTAAACGAAAGGGATGCCATCCGAAGGTCCAGGAGGGACAAACCACAGGAAGAATGCCAGCTCCCCAGCTCTTCCTCAGGAAGGACATGGGTGAGGCTCACTACCCTCTTCTTGGGGGTTGGGCTTGCTCCGGGCTTATGAAAGTTCCTCAGTCCCACTCTATTCCTCTTTTTTCCACTACTCTGTTTTTTTAATTTTACCATATGTATATGGACCATGAGCAGGGGTTAGAAGAGGGCATTGGATTTCTTGGGACTGGGGTGGTTATTAATCCAGCAAGTAGATGCTGGCCACTGAACTCAGGCAGTCAACAATAACAAGTGCTTGTAACTTCTGAGCCATTTCTCCAGCTCCCCTTATTTTTAATTAAAAATTTCATTTTGAGGTGTGCACAGACAGTCCCACGCAGGTTTTGCTGTGTTTTTTGTTTGTTTTTCACAAGGGTGTTACCATGTAGCTCCCACTGACCCGAAACTCTGTCGAGCAGGCTGGGTTCAAACTCAGAGATCCACCTCCCTCTGTCTCCCAAACTCTGGGATTAAAAGGCATGCACTCACTACATGCACCGCAACTCCTGGCTCACTGCAGATGTGAAGAAGGATGATCCTACAATCCCACTTACCCTTCATCAATTTTCCCAGATACAGATTCTTGAAAAGTTGAAGTACAAGATTATGCTAGTAAACAGGGTAAGGTCTGTGGCCCCAGAGACACCTCATGGAGTCCGGCAGGGCCAGCCTGTCTCCAAGTCATCCCTTGTCTTAGTTTTTATTGCTGTAACAAGATACCACACAACCAAGGCCACTTAAAGAAGAGTTTATTGGGATCATGATCATCATGGTAGGGAGCCTGGCAGCAGGCAGGCAGGTATGGTGCTGGACCCGTAGCTGAGAGTGCACATTCTTATCTGCAAGATGGAGGCAGAGAAAACCAACTGGAGAGGGCTGGGCTTTTGAAACCTCAAAGCCCCTCCCACCCATGACACACCTCCTCCTTCTAGGCAAACCTAATCCTTCCCAAATGATCCAACTAACTGGGACCAAGGGTCAAATATGTGAGGCTATGGGGCCATTCTCACGTAAACCACCACATTCCATTTCCTGACTGCCACAGGCTTGCGGTCATATCATGATGCAAAATGCACTTAGTCCATTTCAAAAGTCCTCATAGTCTTTTTGGAGTCTCAACGCGGTTTAAAAGTCAGTCTCAAGGGACTCAAGGAAGTCTCTTAATTGTAAACCCCTATAAAATTAAAACCAAAAGGCAAATTACATGCTTGCAACATACAATGACACAGAATATACAATTCTGTCTGTTCTGGTCCGTGGAAATGGGTGAGACGCTTTTTGTTTGTTTGTTTTTCTGAGAACTGAATCCCACAAATTCTCTCTCTTCTCTGATCTTGGGGAGGGACTGAACTCTCCTCATCTATAGGAAGAGGAAGAAAACTCCTCTACCTTGAAGCTTTTCTGACAGCAATTCTTGGCCTCCTGTCCTCTCTCAGCATTTCCTTGAGCTGATAAAAAGGTCTGGGGACAAGGACTGGAGAACAGGTCATTGGACAGAGCAGAGTCCTCTACTCTTGACCACCAGCCTGTCTTTGGGCTCCAGCTACACATAGAATGCACTGAGTCACTGAGATCAGGACCCAGAGGCTTTAGGGGCAAGGGAGTATCCAGGAGGAGTCTACACACTCAGTGCCCTGGGCCTGACCTCACCATAATCAGTGCAGAGGGGGTTCTCCCTGAGGCTTCTCATCTTGAAGATAGGAAGCTTAACTTCTTACCAGGGAGGTACATCGATAACACTGAGGACTTGGGTGTGAAAATCTCCATTTATACCCAGCAAGGCAGGTAGGTGTGAGCATTGAGGCCCCTTCTGGCACTCCCCAAATTTTATATTCGTAATTACCTTTTCTGGACACCCACCCGGCTGTATCTCTATGACATGGAGCTTGTGCCTGAGGGTTCCTGTCCCTTCCTGACTGCTGAAGCCCACTAGGATTCAGCTACCTGGGATGCTGGAAGGGCAAAGCCAGTAAGTTCATAGGTATCTCTGGTATACTGGAACTTACAAATTGCCCCGGGTTCTTCAGATAAAAGTCTCTGCTTGTCTAGGGTAGATGGGGAAGGAACCTGTTCGATATGTTTGAAGTATAAGCAGCAATTACATATGGAGGCTTAGTAGTAATCACTCAGGTACTAAGGTGCGGTGTTTGGAAGAGAGAAGCCAGCAAGGGGGCAGGCAGTCTGTAGGTGAGACCCCCCTCCGCAGACTAAAACAGGAATATATTCAAGAACTGAGCTTGCTGGAGTTTGGTTCCCATTTCCTGACTCAGGAAAAATTGGGTGGCAGGTAGCTGCTTCATTACACAGACAGAAAATTTAGGATTAAGTGAGAGCTTATCTGAGGCTATCCCCTGCCCTTTGCTTGAATCTGACCATATCCCCAACCTGGACTCCTAGATCTCTGTCTCCTCCTCTCTGCAGTTGTATTAAGCATCTCCTGGCTATGAAGTGACTCAGACATCGTATTCCAGCCACACCTCCTATGTACCTCATGGATTCCCCTGAGATCACTATCACCATTTTTCAACACAGGACCAGGATGCCAAGAGCTTACTGTGTGTTGAGCATTTACTCCAGAGGCCACTGCTAAGTTGGACTGGCTGCCCATACCTACTGGCATCTGTCCTGTTGGGAGTGGTGTGGCAGGCAGGGGTGGGAGTGAAGTGGTGGGTGGGGTAGGAGGTGTGTATGGGAGGTGGAGTAGTTATGTCAAAGAATTAGCTAACATTTAAAAAGCCAAATAGTGTTTCATAGAAATCTGGCCACTGGTGATGAGCTGCTCCCTCTATAGACCCTACTGTCCTAGGGCGACTGCTGGTTGCATAAGCCACGCTAGCAAGACAGAGTGAGCCTCTGCAACCTGTGTCTGGGAGTGGGGAGGTAAGGGCAGCTTGTTCCGGTGGGCCCTCCTCTCCCCGCCCCTTCCCATAGGCTCCGCCCAACTCCGTCTCGCTGAAGGAGCCTACTGCAGCACAAATCTCTAGCCCAGCTGCTTTTAACCCTAGCCGAGATCCTGCTTTCCAGCGCACACAGCTGTGGAAGGATAGGAGGAGCAGCCTGTGTGGACCACGCATTGATACACCATCCAGGAAACTGACACGTGTTGTGTGCCTGATTGAGGAGCCCTCTGTAATGACCTCCAGGGTTAGGGTTAGGGTCTGTGTCACCTGTCACTTCCCATCCCGTGCCGAGTAAGAACGTGGGCAGGAAGCACGGAGTAGCCTGGCTGTCCCACCAGCCTTTCCAGTTTCTTCCGCGCACCCTGGGCTCCTTGGTGCATGGCTGTCGTGCTCAACCGTCTTAGCGGCAGCACTGAAGAGTACTGACCCAAGTCGGCTCCATGCGCCTCCGTCCACACCCAGGCCCCCTCGGCATGGAGCCTTTCTTCCGGAAGCGGCTCACTTTCTTGTCCTTCTTCTGGGATAAGATCTGGCCAGCCGGTGAGTCGGACGAAGACATCCCCCGGATACAGGGACTCGACGACAATCCCGTGCTAGAGCAGCCCGCTGCAGTTGAGCCTTGCAGCTTTCCCGCCCCACGTGCCCGACTCTTCCGCGCGCTCTACGACTTCACTGCTCGGTGTGCAGAGGAACTGAGCGTCAGCCGCGGGGACAGACTCTTCGCCCTCAAGGAGGAGGGTGACTACATCTTTGCCCAAAGGCTCTCTGGGCCGCCCAGTACCGGACTGGTTCCAGTCACCTACCTTGCCAAGGCCACACCTGAGACACCCTCGGACCAACCGTAAGTATCTGGGCTTGAGAGATAGGGCTAAAAGGCTGCCGTGCCCAGTGGAGTACATCAGGGTTTTGAGAGTAAGAAATACCTGCTTACAGTCAGGGAGGGCGTATAGAGTGTGTGCTGGCACTGGGCTGGGCAGGCAGGTGTGGCATGACAAGAAGAGGGGGAACCCAGGACTGAGCAAGTCCGGGGAAACCAATTGCTGGATAGACCAGGTGACATACATAGCATTGCACTGCTTGGAAAGCTGGGGGCCACACCTGAGCCTTCAGGTGGCTCTACAGGGTCCCCAGTACTTCCAGGCACTGTAAACCAGGGTAGAGCCAATTGTTCACCTGCCCCTCTTATCTATCCATATTCATCCAACCACCTCAAATGGAGTCTAAGTGTGAGGCAGATATTGCTCTGATTTGTTTTGGTTGAGTGGGTGTGGAGGATAGCCTTCTCTTTACCTCCAAAGTTGGGCAGTCACTGGCAGCGAAAGGCTGGTTTTGATGCCCAAGTCTTGCATACCAGCCAGGATGCAGCAGGGTCATGGGTAGGAATCTGTTGAAAGTTCAAGAGTTTGTCTAGGAAACTGTCTCTGGTTTTGCACTCAGCTTGTCCTGGCCTGAGTCCTCTGCATACCAACCTCTGGCATTAGCATTGCTCAAATCAATCTCTAACCTCATGAGGACCCCTCGGCAGTAACAGCTTCCCGGGAGGTTTTGTGTGGTAGGTAAAATGGAGTCATAGAAAGGGATCCAGACACTTGCCCCATGCCTGCTTGCTGGCCCTCAGCAGTGGGTAGACTGGGCCAAGTAGCTGTTTGAGTGAAGGTCTCAGGTACCCAGGTGTGGGAGACAGAACTTGTGAACTGGTCCTGTGGGCTGCAGGCAGGGCAGGCAGGGCTGGGCTCAGGGAGGCAGCGCTGCTAGTGGGAGAGTTAATGACTGCTTGAACCTGAAGATCAAAGAGCTGACCACACTTCCAGTGTCATTAGTCCCAGACACCTGGCCCTATAATCCAGGGAGAGACCCTGGAGGCATATCCTCCACAGTTCGACTGTCACAGAAGCCCAGCTGTGTCCCATAGTGGCTTGGATCCTGTCACGGCTTCAAGGAAAGACTAGGGCTGTGTTGGAGAAACTCCCACTTCTGGGCCCCCACAGACTTGTCCTGTTGTCCTGTTACTCTAGGGGCTCTTCATCTGCCAGAAAATCTCAATTCCCTGCCCACAGATCCTATAAGTAATGGCTCTGGTTCTTAGTAGGGAGACAGGAAGCATCAAGGGTCTAGACTTCCAGATTCTGAAATGAGTTTGTGGACTTTCCTGAGCCTGCTACGTAGCCCAGGCTCCGTTTGTATCCTTGACATCCCTCATCTCCCTTTAGCCTGCCAATACTAACCCTGCTTCTCACATCTTGGCCTCTGTCCACTCATTTGCTACTATCTTTTGGTTCCAGCTGTGCTCATCCCCCCTGCTCCAGCCCAGGCCCACACCCTGGCCATGCCAGTTCTTTCCCGTGTATCCCTAGGAGTGGGCCTGGTTTGTCTGCTCTTCTGTGAGCTGACCTGAGTCACACTGAGTGTTCCCTATTATCTTGCCTCCATCTGAGGGGACTGAAGGACTAAGCTCACAGGCCTCTTCTTGCATGACTGTGGTCCCCAGCACACTGGGTTCCTGGAAGCTCTCACAAGAGGAAAAGCTTGGATAGGAAGTTGACCAGCTGTGGAACCCTGTTTGGAGCTTGGGGAGCAGAGGTGCCTACAGGGACTTTGTCTTTCTGAGGTTGTTTCTGGCTCCTAAGAATAAAGGGAGTGGCCAGGCAGAGTGGTATATGTTTCTAATTCTAGCACTCGGAAGCTGAATCTTTGAGGCCAGCCTTGTCTACATAGTGAGTTCCAAGCCAGCCAAGAGGCTGGTCCACCTAGGCATAGCCCTTCAGAGGGCAGGGGGTACTTAGAATATGCCCTTCCCCTTAGCCTTCTACTGTCTGCTTCCGCTAACATCCTGCCCACCCTGCCTTAGCCTTCCTCTTCTGAGGTACCCAGGTCCCATGTAAGCCAATCTCTCAGATGAGCCATGCCCAGACAGGTAACACCCCTGGTTCTTTCCCTGGCCATACTAGCAGCTCTGTGGGTACTTCTGGGACAGTTCACTGGGGACCTCAGTTCCCTGTGGACCCCCACAGGAACTCAACAAAGTCTCAAGTTGGGGGTTTTGGTCTTTGTCCAGGGATGTTAACTTTTGTGAGGCTTAGTAGTCACATTCTGAGCAGGGAACGAGAGTTATATCAAAGAAACAGAATCAGTAGCCCAGGTTAGTAGACAGTCATACCTGTGCGAAGAAGATTCCAGTCACCTGATAGTGGTGGCCTGGGACCTCAGCTTCAGGCACTGAACACATTTTCTCCCCGAGAGGCAGTAGGGCATTGAGGCCTCACACCTTTGCCAGGGTCACATGGCTGGGCCTGAAAGATGACTGTTGTGTCCTGGATTTACAGCTGGTACTTCAGTGGGATCAGCAGAACTCAGGCCCAGCAGCTGCTCTTGTCTCCTGCCAATGCACCGGGGGCCTTTCTCATCCGGCCTAGCGAAAGCAGCATCGGGGGATATTCCCTGTCAGGTACTCAGACAACCCCCCAAGACCTCATGTCCTGGGTCGGGCATCTTGCTCAGCTCTACTTGGCCAGACCCTCTTGACTGTGGAGTGGTTCATCCCTATACTGGAAGCCCTTATATAGACAAGCTGGTCATCAAGCTCCTCCCTTCCTTTCTTCTACTTTCTCTCTCTCCCCACTTTCTCCATTCACCACCTAGCAGACTTAATATTTCATCCAACATGTACCTACTCAACACTCTTTGTCCCCAGACCCCCTGGCTGTCCTGTGGCCTGTAGCTTCCCATGTCCTCTCTTGCACAGAGTATTGTTGACCTCAGTGACCCCCATGGCCAATCTGAGCGAAGCCACTTGGGATGTTGGGGTCTGGGTAACTGAGGCAGGTACAGCCAAGACAATGTTACTCATTTCTGTCTCCAGTCCGGGCCCCAACCAAAGTCTGCCACTACCGCATCTGCATGGCACCCTGTGGCAGCCTCTACCTGCAGGAGGGCCGGCTCTTCCCCAGCCTGGATGCATTGCTCGATTACTACAAGACCAACTGGAAGCTGATCCAGAATCCTCTGTTGCAGCCCTGCATACCCCAGGTGGACCTGAGACATTCTCCATATCTGGGGATCACCGAGAACCCTATCTTAGAGTCTCTTGGCAAGCCTCTAGCCTAGACTTGGCCAGGGAATACCCAGTGTCCAATGGCTTCTTTATTCTGATGGGATTGCCCCATTCACCAGTTTTATCTCCTCTGAGGCTGTTGGAAGACTGGGGACCCTAAAGGGGTATAGGATGCACCCAGTTCTGTCAGGCATCAGGAGAAGTCAAGACTAGTGTTGGAAGGCACCCAGATCTGCTTCAAGTCCTGAGGGCAGAAGCTGAGAGAGGAGATATTGTTTTCCCTAGTATCTGATATTACTGGGTGCAGGGCAGCAATCTGGTTCCTCTGGTTTTGTGATGACAGCCTAGCCAGGGGTTATAATGAGTGTTTGGAGACGGATGTCCGGCTCTGGTAAAGCGGCCGCATAAGTCCCCAAAGCAATTAGCTTCATAGCTCTGGGCTTGGCCTCCTGGAGGTCAGTTCTGGGCTCCCCTTTTCCCCTGACAGGGCCCGGAGTGAGGGAATGCTGGGGAGGGAAAGGCTGAGACCTGATGCTGGGGTTCTTCCTGAGACTCACAGGGAGGCTAGGTTCAAATAGAAGCTCAGCCTTCCTGCTCACTCTGCTGGGGGAGTCTTAGGCAGCACACTGAGTGTCCCTTCCCACAGGTGCCCCTGGCTCAGGACGAGTGGGAACGGCCACGATCAGAATTTGTCCTTCGGAGAAAGCTGGGTGAAGGCTTCTTCGGTGAGGTGTGGGAAGGCCTGTGGCTGGGCTCTATGCCTGTAGCGGTGAAGGTTATCAAATCAGGTGAGGCCTTGCTACCAGGCTTGGGCAGCACTGCCCTCTGACCCCGAAGCCTAGGGCAATGGTGGCCATGCACAGTCCTGGAGCGGCATCTTTTCCACAGCTGACATGAAACTGGCAGACCTCACTAAGGAGATTGAAGCGCTGAAGAGCTTGAGGCATGAGCGGCTGATCCGGCTGCACGCCATATGCTCCCTGGGTGAACCTGTGTACATCGTTACTGAACTCATGGGCAAGGGCAACCTGCAGGTCTACCTGGGCAGTGAGTGAATACCCTCCCTGAAATTACCCTGTAGTGGCCACATCTGCCAACCCTCATGGTAACATTCAAGTCCTGGGTCCACAAAAAAGAATCCTGAGGCCTTTGGAAGGGACACATGTGGCCCAGGATGCAGACATCTGGTCCTACTGAGCCTCTGATCAGCAGAGGCATTGAGGCCAAGGGTCTGGGCCAGGCCTACATTTGACTACCTTGGACCCAGTCTGGGTAAAGTACTATCTCTCTTGGGGGTCCAGGGAGGTGCCAAGAAGCAGCTTGCACTGGGGCCTGTGGTGAGTGCAGGGTTTTCCCTTTTTCATTTTATTTCTTGCCTACTAGGCCTCAGCAGGTGGTGCTCTCACTTTCTCCGAGATGGGGGAGCCAAGGCAGAGGAAGACTGTGTGCGTACATGCACTTGTCTTACTGGCTATCAGCCTGTGCCCTCGGGAGTTCCGCCACCCCACCCCTCTCTCTGCAGGCCCGGAGGGAAAGGCCCTGAACCTGCCTCATCTACTGGGGTTTGCCTGCCAGGTAGCTGAGGGCATGAGCTACCTGGAGGAACGACGGGTTGTACACCGGGACTTGGCCGCCAGGAACGTGCTCGTGGGTGATGACCTCACCTGCAAGGTAGCTGATTTTGGCCTGGCCAGGCTGCTCAAGGTCAGTGGGGCTCTAGGCTCCTAGCCCCTGCAGAGGGGAAGGCATTACTCTGAATTCCCCACCATTACCCTCATCCCCAGGATGATGTCTACTCCCCAAGCAGTGGCTCCAAGATCCCTGTCAAGTGGACAGCACCCGAGGCAGCTAATTACCGTGTCTTCTCCCAGAAGTCAGATGTCTGGTCCTTCGGCATCTTGCTGTATGAGGTCTTCACTTACGGCCAGTGTCCCTATGAAGGTGAGCCATCCGAGAGGAAACTATAATTCATCATAGCAAGTTTAGTCTGAGGGAGGTAGCCTGGGGTCCTCCCTGAGAGAAGAGATACACCCTGCCCTGGGAGTCACTGACCCCAAAGATACCTGGGTAGGGGTTGGAGTACCAGCACAGACTGGTCTTGCCGAGGCTGGGATTGGGGGAGTCTCTTTGGTGTCACCCAGGCAGAATCAAGGCAACTGCTGCCTGGCCCCTCTTGCTGGCCCCTTACCAGGAATGACCAACCATGAGACACTACAGCAGATCAGCCGTGGATACCGCCTGCCACGCCCAGCTGCCTGCCCAGCAGAGGTCTATGTGCTTATGGTGGAGTGTTGGAAGGGCAGTCCTGAGGAGCGTCCCACCTTTGCCACGCTGAGGGAGAAGCTGAACGCGATCCACAGGCGGCTCCACCTGAGCCTCACGTGACCAAGTCTCCAGTCCCACAGGCAGCCATTCCAGTAACTGCTTCCTGAAGGGTGTCTCCCAAGGGAACACTTGTCACTAACACACACGGGAGATGCTAACACCTGGGAATGGCAACAGCCCGCGAGAAACAAACACTGGGGCTCCTTCACTGACATAGGCTGGTACTTCCATGTACCCACCAGACGGATGCATGCAGACAGGGCCTGGTCATGAGTACTCGCTTAGAAGTGAGGGCTGATGTCCTCCTCCTGGCATAGTTTGAATCCCTGGTGTTTCCAACCTGTTGATGATAAAGTATCAAAGCTGTAAGAAAGTGCTGGACAAAAGAATTCCAGCAGAGCCAGCTGTTTCCTCCCTGCCCTTACCTCACTCTGAGCTTCCTCCGCTCCCTCCTAAGATCAGGGATGAGAAGCCCAGTTTCTCTCAAGTCTTACTGTGGGTTTGATGGACTATCCAGTGTGAGGGTTCCCAAGCTGGGTACTCAGAGGAGACAGTGGCATCACCTGCCCACGCCCACTGCCCGACAGGTATGGGCAAACCTTAGGTACACAGAGTCAGCTTCAATAAACGTGTTCCAAATGGATTCACATACCAGTTCCCAGAATGGAGTGCTGGAGACTCTAAAAGATGGGAGGAAGAGTTGAACCATACCCAGAGCCAAAGCAGCATTCCAGTGTGGACCCCCACGATAGTAACAGTGAAAGTGGCTGGGGCCAAGTGAACAGCCCCTTCCAGCTCCCTGGCCTGGGGTTGAAGTCAGAAGGCTCTTCAGTTTCAGAAAGGGCAGACTGGTGTGGTTTGGTGGTCAGAACTCCTAGACCTTTTCCAGATGCAGAAGGATGAAGATATAGGTAGGATTCTGACAACCAGACAATCTACTTTCTGGGGCAAAGCCCCTGTGGGTCACTTTTGTGTTTGAGCGTGACGCCTGGAGAAGCTGGGTCTTGGATCACTCAACACGTTAACCAGGAGCAGTATGCTGGGGATTAGGGGCCTTTGCTGGGGACCCAAGGCCATTTTACTCTCCCAGCAGCTGTGTCCAGAAGGCTGGAAGGCAGAAAGCCTGGCAGTCCCCTAGAGGACATGGAATGTGGGGCCAGCTCTGCACCCACTGAGGCCAATTTGTTCATGATCACCAACCATATTTGTGGGTTGGGTAACAGGGAACTGGGAGCTGAACTTCACGTGTGACGTGTTAAGTTACAGCCAAGAGTTTGGGGCTTAGCCAGTCATGGGCTTTCTCGTGGGGAAGCAGGGCTGAATGAGAGGGACTGAGGGCGTGGGTTGTATCATAGATGGAGGTGGTGAGAACCCAGTCAGCCTGACTGCAGGTTCAGAACTGGATGTTCCTAAGAGCTGTGGAGTCCAGGCCGACAGAGTGTGCTGATGTTGGTCTCTGTAGGTGGAAGGGGCAGTTTGGATTGGACTGAGGCATGGCCCTGCCTCTGCCTTAACCTACAGCTCTGATCTCTGGAGGGGAAGAATCTGGAACTGGCAGTTGGCTGCGGGGGGCTCCCTGCTTTGCCAGCCCACAGAGCAGCAGTGTGGGTCCAAGGGCTTGCATGGTATAAGATGGTAGCATTCTGATGTTAAGAGGCTACCATGAGTCAAACCAGGAGGACACTAGAGACAGGATGGCACAGCCTGGGGAGAAAGATGGCGCTGGGATTGTAGCCAAGCCACAAAAGCAGGTTTGGCTGGGTCTTGGCACATTCCTGTGTGTTTAGTCAACCAAAGATGAACAGGTTTGACCCTCCTTGGAGAGGCCAAGGACTTTTGAGCTACCCGATGTATCTTCCATTGAGCTGCCCACAGGTCTCATCTAGGGGCATGTAGCTGTCTGGGACACAGCTTGGACTCAGAGGCTCAAGACTCGAGGGCTCTGGAGGGACAAGGGAGGCAACCATGGAGTTCCTGAGGCTGACCTCTGCCTGTACCATCCGTATTCCTTTCCTCTTCCTGCAATGCCTCTTCCCCACACTTTATGGGAACTGAGTTGGGCTGGGTTGGTGTGAAGCTACTAACCCACCCACCCCCCCCCCCTCCCCCCCCCCCCCCCCCCCCCCCGGGGGGGGGGGCTGTACTATATCTCCTCGAAGAAAGAAAATTCAAGGCCTGGCACAGTTCTCACCGATAGATCGTTAGCCTGCATGTGGACCAGGGTTTGATCCTTGGCATGAATCAGCAGCATCCCCATCCTTCCCTGCCTAAAAAAAAAAAAAAAAAAAAAGGAAAGAAAAAGACTCAAATAGGTAGTCTCAAGAAGTGTCATTTCCCAGGCTACTCATTCTTATGGACTTGTTAATTTCCCTTCCCATCCTTCTTTGTGGCTGTCCTCCTGGGTAGGATCACCCCATAGTGGACACAACTGACCAGCCGCAGTGAGAAAGGCGGTTAGAGTCACTCTGGAGATAGGGAATCTTTGGAGTTTTAAAGGTTTAATGGGAGGAGAAGGGACAGTTAGGAAGACTGGAACAATCACAAGCAGGGCTGCCAGAAATTGGGGAAGCATGGGAGGTGAGTTGAAAGGGGCCTGGGAGGGGTCTGGGGGGGTAGGTGGAGTCAAAGAGCAGGAGGGAAGGTTGGGAAAGAGGGAGGAGGAGTTGCAGAGGCCCTGGTGGTGTGGGCACTTCTTAGTCGTTCCTCACCTTCTATGGCTGCCCTCTTGTGTACTTATCTGGGAAGACAGGACCGTGCCTGCTTTTTGAGCTGATGTCGATGATCTACAGACAAGTCAGAAGATACCAGGAAGCCCTCTAGACCATCCCATAACCCACACGGATGTTTATGCCTTCATATCCCTTGGCTCTTGTCGTCTTTACAGCTGTCAGTATGTGGTCTAGCGTGCTGTCCTGGGGGCTTCTTCAGTATAGATGCGCACCTGAGCGTTCTCACTTAAAGGGGCCAGAATTGAGTAGCAGCTCAGGCTGGGGTATGTCCTCTCTTGGTCCACAAGTCTCACCCAGACCCCTCCCACCCTTGTCTCCAATGCAGGTCCTACCTGATTCTCTTGATGCCATCCCTAGATCTAGTCCTGCCAGTGTCTGGTGGGTGGACACCTATCCAGGGAGGTGGCTGTCAGGACTGTCAAGTCCTTCACAACTCTCAGTATCTGTTAGTGTGTGCACAGGAGGGAAACTTTCTCCATTGGCAGGAGGCACCAGTCAGTGTAGGAGGGTTTCTCTGTAGAAAAGGCTCTCAACTCTGTTCCTTGTGTGTTCTAGCAACCTGCCCACTGTCCTTGAGATTTCCCTCCACTGTTCCTCTCCCCATTCTTTGGCTCTAAGACTCACACCAGGGGTTGAGGGCTCAGCTGATAGCTGCATGCTCACCGCCTAGTAGGCTACTCCTTATAACCACGACTGGACCTTGTCAGGGGTGGTTTAGATGGCAGACTTCCACTGGAGACAAGTGTAAACACTCAACATGGCTTGATCCTGAGGACAAAAGAACATACAGGGGCCAGAAGGTTCTTTGGGGTGGAGACATAAGAGTCCATCTCCAATGGGTACTAGGAGAGGCTGCTCTCCTGACCGTCATAAGGAAGTAGGTGTGACTAGCTTGCTGGAAAACCCTGCCTGTCCCTCCCAGCAGCGAGTATCTATAAGCAGCTCACAGCTGGCTCTGCCATCGAGCCTGTCATGATGTCTCGGGACAAGGACCACCCGGGCCCTAAGTATGTAGGCCTTTGGGACTTCAAGGCTCGAACAGGTGATGAACTGAGCTTTCAGGCAGGAGACCTCCTGCATGTCACCAGGAAGGAGGAAAAGTGGTGGTGGGCCACCCTGCTGGATGCGGCAGGCAAAGCCTTGGCTGAGGGCTATGTGCCCCACGATTACCTGGCTGAGAAGGAAACTGTGGAGTCTGAGCCGTGAGTTACCCTGGAGAGCTGGTACAAGGGGAGGGGTGGGAATTGGGATGGATTGGGGAAGTCAGAGGGTGTAAGATCCTAGCTAGACATTCAGTTGGTCATACTCTGATCCTTAACATCCTGGTAAAAGGGTTACCAAATGGGGCTGTGCCTCTCTGTGGCACTGAGGAATGGGGTCTCTCCTTTGGACCCACCCATGACTACTTTACAGTCATAAGTACTGTTCTGTTAGGATTCAGATAGTTCAGAAGGACGCAGAGTGGATTTTTAGGATGCTGGTTATAAGAGACAAGATCTGTGTGGGAATTCAAGAGCTGTTGGAGGTGTGAAGTGCTCACTTTCCAAGAAGTCAGAACCAGATATGCGACCTAGTTACGGGAAACCGAAGGCTGCTGGGGCACGCCTATCTATCACCTATTGGGGGTACATGCAAACATGGTGGTATGTATTTTCATGTTCCCTTAAGCATCCTAGTCCACTGTTGCTGGCCACATACCCGATCCCCTAGAGGCTTTGAGGAACTACAGTAGTGCCCAGTGTGGGCATGCCCACAGCCACGCAAGGACCCAAGCTATATAGGTTGCTCTGGGCTAAGGCTGGGAAGGGTCCAGCAGAAGGGGTTTCTTGTTTTGCTCCTCAGGCCCCCCTCCCCAACTCCTCATCTCACAGTGAGCACCTATTGTGGAAGACTGTGAGCACCTAAGGAGACAAAAAACAGTGATAAATGGTACCTATGACAGTTTCAGAGAGGAGTCAGGTGGTGACACATATCTTTAGCACTCAGGGGGTAAAGGCAGATGGATCTGTAAATTCAAGGGCAGTTTGGTCTATGTAGTGAGGTCCTGTGGTGAGGGAAGGGGAGGAGAAAGAAGGGATCCTATATAGAGAAGTGGCCAAAATTGCAGGAGCAAAGGCCCTGAGGTCCTGAGACTCTAACACAAGTGAAGAAGTCAGAAGAGCAAAGCAGAGGAGGCCAAGTGGTCAGAGGGGTTAGTAGGAAAGATTCTTTAGCTTTGCAGGACCTGGGGAGAAGAACTTCAAGAATTTGAGCTGAATGTTGGGCTCCCTGTGTAGTCCATGTTCTAGTCACTCTTGAGGGAGTAGGAGACTCCATGGGCAGAGATGACCTATGGAATTCCAATGACCTATGGACTTGCACCTGTAGTTCAGGCATGTCCAGCCCTTGTGTTGGGAGCTAGCATGTAGAGACACTTTTGAATGGGAGAGTATGTGCTACTGTGTCTATGCAAGTTCATAAGGGTGTGCTTAACATTGTATGTGCATACTTGTGCAAGCATGCAAATGTGAGTGCATGGATGGGTATGTGTGTCTGTGCATATAAGTGCACGTGTGCAAATGGCTACGTGATTATATGAGTGTGTGTATGAAAGTATAAGCCAGGAAGTAGCACTGGGGAGCTGTTGATATCCCTCTCCCACCTACTTCTGGGCCAAGGCTGGAATCTGTAGGTCTGTGTTGTGGGATTCCCCTCTGTATGCTGTGAATATGTTTTATTGTCATTGGTTAATAAGGAAGTTGCTTGCAGCCAATGGCTTAACAGAATATAGCCAGGCTGGAATATATATGGAGAGAGAATGTCGGTGGAGTCAGAGAGATGCTATGTAGCTGCAGAAGGAGACAGACATCCTGGAACCTTGCTGGTAAATCACGAGCCTTGTGGTAATACACAGAATAATAGAAATGGGTTAATTTAAGATACAGGAGCTAGCTGGCAATACTCCTAAGTGATTGGTCAAGTAGTGTTTTAATTAATATAGTTTCTATGTGATTATTTTGAGTCTGGACGGCTAGGAGATGAATGAGCAGCTTCCGTCAACAGGTCTGGTCCCATGACCTGTTAAGAGACATCCACATGATGGAACTGTAAGCCTTTGGGGATGGGGTGGACTGATACATAAGTGATCATCGTCCAGAGCAGGGTAATAGGCAGTGCTTTCCCATCCCACTTCCGGGCCACAAGAAACTGGTGTCCAGAACCAGCCATTTAGGATTTTTGGGGTCCACAATGGGCCCAAAGGCCTCTGCAGGGTTGGGGGCAGCATGAGAGGCAGCTTAGTTGGGAGCCAGGGGTAGCTAGGACTCCAGATAGACATGGCAAGGGTTAGAGAGTTGAGAGACCGGGTGGATGTGGGGCTGGGGTGAGGATCAAGAGGCTGAGGTTGACTTTCTCCCCTGCAGGTGGTTCTTTGGTTGCATCTCCCGCTTAGAGGCCATGGACAGGCTGCAGGCTGAGGACAACTCAAAGGGAGCCTTCCTGGTCAGAGTCAGCAAGAAGCCAGGAGCAGACTATGTCCTTTCTGGTACTGCTTCTCAGACCTCCCCTCACCTATGCTAGCTCTGAGGCTCTCCTGACCACATGGTCATCTGCCTTTCTTCTGATTGTGAAGTCAGGGACATCTTTCTCTTCCATTGGAAGTCCCGACTTCTCCTTGTGGTTCAGCTACTCATTTTCAGTCTTTGGGACAGAAAGCCAGGGACTCTTAACTTGGGTTGTTTCCCTGAGCTTTCTGGCATATCCTGTGTGTGTCATGGAAGCCAAGGCTCCACAGGTGTTCCACTATACACACGGTCCAATAACCTAGGTGTGCAGAAAACAGAACAGACATGGCTTATGACAGGAGTTGCCAGGTAGCCATGGGCAAGCAGTGTCCAGGGTAAGAGCAGGGACAGGAAAAGTGGGGGACATACAAGGTAGGATGCCTGCTTATGCCTCTTTCTGCTGGCCACCCACCCCAGTGCTGGACGCTCAGGCCGTGCGACATTACAGGATCTGGAAGGATGACGTGGGCTGGCTGCACCTGAATGAGACGGTGTCCTTTCCCGGCCTGTCTGAGCTTGTGGACTACCACAAGACCCAGAGCCTGTCCCATGGCCTGAAACTGACCATGCCCTGCTGTAAGGTAGGCCATTGGTTCCTCTGTGACATAGTTGCTGAGTACAGTATGGGGGCAGGAGGGGCTCCGAAGATGGTATTCCTCTTGGCTGTCCCTCTTACTACACTGACTCACCAGAGTTCACTTGTGCCCCTGCTAAGTCCTGATACCCGGTAAGCCTGAAGACAAGGGTCGCTGACCAATTGCCTGAGGGAGCTTATTGACCTTGGTGGATGATGACAGCTGCATTTTTACGCAAGACACTCAGATATTACTATGCTAGATGTATCTCTAAATTTAAAGATAAACAGGGCTCCTATTGTGGGGTTCAGAGCAAACCCTCCCTGAAGACAGAAGACAAGTGGAGTGACCCAGGTATCCCTCCTACCATCACCATCACCCTTTCTGTTTCCCCAGCAAAAGACTGAGTCCTCACCCCACTGGGATGACTGGGAGAGGCCAAGAGAGGAGTTCACGCTCTGTAAGAAGATGGGGGCCGGATACTTTGGGGAGGTCTTCGAAGGGCTCTGGAAAGGCCAGATCCGAGTGGCTGTGAAGGTGATCTCTAGAGGTGAGCGGGTCACATGCTATTTCCCTCTTAGCCCTGCCAGTGGCATGTCTAGTCTCACCACACTGAGGGCATCCCAACATACTGACTGGGCACCTGCATCATGGTGGGAGTCATTTCTTTCACTTGTACCCATTTTTGTTGAAACTAGAAGTTTGAGTTTCACCCAGAATCCCAGCCTCACTCTCAGGTTTATACCCAATACCTCAAACATCAGGTCAGCCAAGACCTTGAGAACATCCACCCAGGAAATGTTGACGTTGGCAGTAGTGAGCAGGCGGGGCATTGGAGGGCAGAAGGTTGCATCAGGCTTGGGGCACTGAGGCCTTGGTAGTGGGGGCTTGGAGTGAGCCTTTGTCTTCCTAGGCTGCCTGTATTTCCCCGAGCTGCTTCAGGAGGCCCTAGCCTCCTCCTCGGGGCACAGGTCAAGGGCTGTATTCACTGAGACTGGTGTCTCTCAGCCAACCTTCTACACCAGCACACCTTCCAGTCTGAGATCCAGGCCATGAAGAAGCTGCGGCACAAGCACATCCTGGCTCTGTACGCTGTGGCATCTGCAGGGGATCCTGTCTACATCATCACGGAGCTCATGCCCAAGGGGAATCTGCTGCAGTTATTGCGGGGTAAGTGGCAAGCTCCACCCTCCTTTCCCTGAGGCGAAAGTGCTGGAGGCAGCAGGACACACACACAGAAACAAGTGGAAGCAGCCTGTTATCCCAAGGCTCCTACAGTGAGATGGGAGGAAGTGGGCGAATCCTTGTTTTCTCTGGCTCTGCAGCAAACAACAAAAACTCTCCTCGTAAATTCGTAAATGTAAGTTGTGAAGACTAACATCCAAGATTGTCCTCTGACCTCCACACACATGTCCACATACACATTATACATCCATGATAAAGAAGGAAAGCAAATGACTTAAACTATGACGACTCTACCAATGGCTGATCATAAAGTTTGAAAAGGTATCGATAAGTACAAAAAAGAACACCCGTCCACAATTTCTATACCCAGAGTTAACTGAGGTCACTGCTATAGGCTCTGTGTAACCTGCTGGTGACCTGCTTCTGCCCACCAGCCCCTCTCTCTTCCTGAGACCTACTGTCCTGTCACACCTATACATACTGATACACGAACACCTGTAAAACACCGACACACACACAAATATAGACGTTCACACACGGCACAGACACACCCTAACACAACTTCTCTCATCCACAAGAGGACACCCTGTCTGTTTTCTTCATCACAAAACCAGACCATCTCCATCAGCTGAGACGCGGTGCAATGATGTCACCGAGCTTCACACAACAGTGAAAGGGAATGGGGCAGCGTAGGGCAATCGTGTCTGGGCATATGTATTAACATATCACTAGCATCTGGAAGAGTAAAGTGTAGTCTACGTGTTTCATCAGCGGTTTCTGCAGGAAGTAGTCTTTCAGAGACAGAATGCATGCCCCTTGTAGGCATAACACTTTTTGAATGTGCACCATCTAGAAAGTCCAGTGGCTACCATATACCAAGACTATCTTGCAGCCATATCTTTGCCCTTAGATTGCCTTATAATTCCCAGAAAGGACGTGGGACAAAGAGTATGTGTGTGCTCTTTGTCTCTAGGTACATAACTGCAGAAGGTCTAGGGCTGTCTATGTTCCAATTAAGCCAGCCCAGTTGCCCTCTGCTGGAGCCCTCACAGCCCCAACAAATGAGAATTGAGCTCTGGCCAACTGACTTTGGCCTCTTATCACCCTGCAGACTCCGGTGAGAAAGCCCTGCCTATTTCGGAACTACTGGACTTTGCATCACAGGTTGCTGAGGGAATGTGCTACCTGGAATCTCAGAATTACATCCACCGTGACCTGGCTGCTAGGAATGTTCTTGTTACAGAGAACAATCTCTGCAAAGTGGGGGACTTTGGGCTGGCCAGGCTTGTCAAGGTAGGACCCTCGGAGGTAGAAACCAGAAGCAGTAATGGGGATTTATTTTCCAAGCCTTGAGCTGAACCCAGCCACAGGAAAGATGAGGGTTTTTGTTTGTTTGTTTGTTGTTCGAGACAGGGTTTCTCTGTGGCTTTGGAGCCAGTCCTGTAACTAGCTCTTGGTGACCAGGCTGGCCTCGAACTCACAGAGTTCCGTCTGCCTCTGAAAGATGAGTTCTTGATAGGTGGTGTTAACAGGCAAGGGAATGGCTTCATTCATACAGCCACAGCCTTGTTTATGCCAAACTGGCCCAACTCTGGGTACCTTGGACACAGCCATGTGCACTGGGCTTTTCCTGTTCCCACACTGCAGCTCTTCCCTTGTGCCCTACCCTGCCAGAAGCCCAGTGAACTGGCACTTTTGATACAAAGGGCCTAGCCATGATTCTAGCAGCATCGGTGGCAGTTACCTCTGGTAGCTGTTGGGTGGTGTCAGTGGGTCAGATGATAAGGCAGTGTGTTTACATCTGCCCACTAGGACCTTGGCATCCATGCCTGTCCATGCTACACAGGAAGGGTAAAAGCAGTAGCTCCCTCCAGGGTCAGGGCCCCACGATAAGCCATCTTATCACAGGAGGACATCTACCTTTCCCACAACCACAATGTCCCCTACAAGTGGACGGCACCTGAGGCACTCTCCCGAGGGCGTTACTCCATCAAATCTGACGTCTGGTCTTTTGGGATTCTCCTCTATGAAATTTTCAGCAAGGGGCTGGTGCCCTATCCAGGTATTATACCCAAAATGCACTCAAATGTGGACAGGCAGTGAGGTGGAGTGGGGGGCAGGTCTTGAATGGCTCACAGATTTGACAGGAGGTACTTTCCAGAGCCTCAAGCAGAGCCCCAAACAGAGCCCCACCCATGTTCTATTCTTTGAGCACACAGGAGCTGCTGCTGAGATCACTTCCTTGAGACATTGTCCTCAGGGAAGGCAATAGCCACAGACAGTGTGCTAGAAAATGTCCAGAGCATGGTGGTGGTCATTCTTGTTGGAGACAGCATTTAGGGAGGGGCCAAAGGCAGCTGGGTGTAGCTTTCAGGGATTGGAGGGTGAACACCAGCTTCTTAGATCTCATTTCTCTTCTCCCATGGGCCACAGGCATGTCCAATCATGAGACCTTCCTGAGGGTGAATGCTGGCTACCGCATGCCATGCCCCCAGGATTGCCCACCCAGCATACACAAGCTGATGCTCGGCTGCTGGAGCTCAGACCCCAAACAGAGACCTTGCTTCAAGGCCCTGTGTGAGAAGCTCTCCGACACCAGCTGGTATGAGAACGTGGTCTGAGCTCCTTGGATATGGCCAGGACCCATGGAAGAGGGGCTTCATGATTATCCTGGACCTCCACCGAAGCTGTGCACCATCCTTCAGCTTGCCGAGATGAAGGAATAGCAAACATACCAGAGATACCTCAGGTACTCCTTGCTGTAAAGGAAAGAGTGAAGAGGGAGCCATACTCTTTTCCCATCTATCCTCGTCCAGGAGGCAGTCCACAAAATCCAAGAGGCCATCCTGGTTTCTCCCTTCCTTCTCCTGTGAAGACTTCATGTGACAGAGAAGCCAAGAAGGGTCTAAGCAACAGGCCTGTGGAGTTCTTGGCAGCATATCCCTTCCAGAGCATACCTGTCCTTGGCCACTCCTCTGCTCAGTTATCCACACACTCCCCACCCCTTGGCACCTTAATTTACAGGCTCTTGTGCCACAGAACAAGCTTTGGAGCTTCAGGTCCTTTCCCTTCAGAGACAGCTGCTTCTGTCCTGAGCTCATGGGACAGAACACCCTTTGTAGAAAACCACTGACCTCATGCTCTGCTCCGTCCTCCGTTCGCTTCTTTCTGTTTGGACCTGAGTCTTCCCAGATGGCTCTGGCCCAAGGCTGCTTTCCCGTCTCCAGTTTCTGGAGCCCAGCCGGACTATCTGCTCTCTGTCAGCTCCTTATACGCTTGGACACTAGGGCCCCAGTTCTCAGGGGGTGAGAGTACCCCAAAAGCATCTACCGGAGGATGCTTTACTGCAAGTGGGTATAACCCTCTCAGCAAAAACCTACCAGCTGTTTCCAGACTGACCTCTCAAGATGAGTGAATGTGCCCCAGCCTCCCTTGAGGAAATGGCCTCTCTGTATCCAAGAGCACAATGTGTGTGCTACTTCCTGTAAAGTCAAGCTGTCTTTTAAAAATACAGTCCTCAGCTGGATGGTGGTAGCGCACACCTTTAATTCCAGCACTTGGGAGGCAGAGGCAGGCAGATCTCTCTGAGTTAGAGGCCAACCTGGTTTACATAATGAGTTCCAAGACAGCCAGAGCTACATAGAGAGACCCTGTCTCAAAACAAAACAAAACCCCATAAAAACAACAAAAACATCAAAATAAAAAACAAAACAAAACTTTGTTTAGACTGGTCTAGAGATGGATGCTCATTAAATATTCCTAAATCCTCTCAGAAGTATAGAAACAAGATCAGATATTCTAAACATCGTGATTTAGAATAATCTTTAAGAGTGTTGGTAAAGGCCAGGCGGCAGTATCACACGCCTTTAATCCCAGCATTTGGGAGGCAGAGGCAGGCGGATCTCTGTGAGTTTGAGGACAGCATGGCCTACAAATCGAGTTCCAGAAGCTCCAAAGCTACACAGAGAAACCCTGTCTCGGAAAAAAAAAAGTGTTGGTAAAATAAAAAGAGGTGTGTTCTCAGGTGTGTCAGTACTGAGTATGTATGTTCTCAGGTGTGTCAGCACTGATATGATATAGT